CAGTTGAATTTCAGCAGTCTATTTCAGTTGCCTCAAAATAGCAACGCTCCAACAATGCGCCTGCCCTGAACACACCTCGTTTTCAGACTAGCACGCCCATGGGCGCACAAATAGAGGCAAATGCATTTGCTATTTAAACAATGTGGCGCAGGCATGAAAATGATAACTGCGTCGAGCAGAAACTAACAAAAAAACACTTTGCACAAATTGCGCCGGGTATATGATAGGGCTCATAAAGTCAGTTGCTTGTTGCCACCTACTGGCTTAATGATGTAACCTGCAAAAAGATTAGAAACTGTTTATCATACATACATATTTACAATAAAACACAGATTTATATCCTTATGAATATGTAGAACTGTTTTGTACCTTACAAATCCATATAAATGTGACTTGCACCAAAAGTCCCCATGTGGTGAAAATCAAGCTTTTAATGTAGTTTATTGTATACGTATGTCTATGTAATGTTTTTAATATGCTTTAAGACAAACCATGTGCAAAATAATGCACATGATGTAAGTCAACACCATTGCTGAGTATTTTTTTCCCTTAAAACTGTATTAAACCAAAGACAGTCTCAAAAACGCGGTTTGAAATCGCTGGTGTTTCTGAGGTCACACACTACCTTGTAGCCAGGAGTGGATCTCTGAGCTGGTGCAAATTAGTGGAGGAGGGGCTAGTTCAGAGAACATATTCAAAGAACCGTGTATACTAAACGAGGTAAGGCTGTTACATTCAAGCTATTTTACGGCATGAAGAAATTTATTTTCAAAGAAAAAACGTTTAAATGTCATTTTGACTAAATACAATTATTGACTACAGGGGTACTTTAATATTTTTTTAACAATACCATTTACCATTTTTTTCCCCCTCTTCAGTAGCTTATGACCATATACTTATTAACTTGTCCAATGTTTGTCAGCTAATAAGCGAGGGAACAAGACTGATATGTTCCCGGTAATAGAAATTGATTTTAGCATGTTGTTTTTATACACTTTGCAATTGATTTTAGGGTTAGAAGTAATACAAATCATTTATTACACATTACGCTTAACCCCGTCAAGGACTCTTCTTAATCATTTGCACACCTCACTCTCTAAACAATTTCTCATCTGTTTTTATGCATTTATTTATTTTAACCAATTTTCCATTTTTATTTGGTGCATTATAATGTACTGTGAAATTAGAAATATTACAGTTTATACACAAAATGCAATCCACTATGCTTTTGTCTAAAGAAATACATGACTATGTAGACTATAAAAGACCATGTGAAAAATATTTCTCTGCTTTCTATCAGATAGCTTACACCACTGCATGGTGAAAGAGTTTTTGTTCATTATTACTCATTACAGCACCCATGATGGTAGAGTTGACGCCTAATAATCTTTAACAATTAAGTGATTGTTAAAACCAAGCAGCATGTTGGAGCCTACTGCAAAATTACAAGCCATTTACAAAAGTCTCAGTGAGTGATTTTACACAGCAATGAGTAATGATGTTCTGCCAGCACACAACAAACTTTGTTAATTACGGAATGGCATATTTTCTTCCTCACATACGCCCAAAAGAAACATGTGAAAGCTTGTGTAACAAGCCTGCTACTTTTAACTAAAGCCTTGCAATATTCTCACTTATGACGTATCTATGAGGATTTAAACAGATCTTTTATGGAGTAAGTTCTGTGTAATTTGGATTCACTCTCCTAGGAAACAGACGTTTCAGTGAATAACAGAGATGCAGAAAAAAATGTCTTGCACCTCAAAATCCCCACACTTTCCTCAGCCTCAAAGGAACTTTATCCGAACAGGTTTTATTGATTGGTTGTGAAATGTGACAAACAGGAAATTTTTCCAGAAAGTAATCTTGTTCCCACATTTTGGTCATAATCGTGAAAGGGCATGTCAAGTGAAATGCGAAATCTTCCCTTCTCATATTTGAACTTCCAAGACCCTATATATAGTGACATATGCAAGGGAATAGAAGCCAGACTCATCTATCTTTAGCATTAGTAATTCATCGATATATAAATTTGACTGATTGCTTTTGACATACATCACCTGAATGAGAGGAATAGATGAAATGACCATGACGAAAACCAGGAAACCACGCTTCGGGTCCGAGCAATTTTTAGTGGCTATATGAACAGTGGTGCAGTTCTATTGAAATCCTATTCCTAACCCACTTACAGCCACTGAGTTAGAAGCACTGAAATGAAAATGAAGCAATTTAATCATCTGTGGAACGGGCAGGACTCGAAAAACTCCAGCCAATCATTTCCAAGACCACCTAGAATCATTGGACAGTCAGTGCGTCAATTAAACGGTCGTACCTTACCCCCCTCCCCCTCGCGCGCGTGTCCCCTTCGTGCGCATACTCAAAGCTTGTGACCCAGTCACAGTAAGTGCAAGTCGCCCCGGTACAGAGAGAGAGAGAGTAAGTGCAATCTCACGCATCTGAGTTTTGCAGATGCATGATTGCGCGTCCAAGTTCTTCGAATGGGTGGAGTCAGGGCTAGCGTTGGAGGAAAGAAGGTAGGGCCTTTTGGGTTGTGTATTTTCAAAATCTGCCGGCCGTTTTGCAAATCCCATACCCTACCTTTAAGCTATTTCAGAAATAGGAGGAGAACAGTATACAGTAAGCTGTTTCGAATTCAGCCTGTGTCACATCATTTGTATTTAGCCTTCTATTGGTTATTTTGTTGTTAGAGGTAAAATCAGACATTTGTTACTTTGTCCATTAGCAAAATTTGAAGTTCTAATCTTAAACAGCTCTTTCCCAGACAGCAACATAGTGTCGGCCCAGATCCGGGCCACATCTGGTAGATGTGAATTTCCACCAGGAATCTGGGCCGGATCTGGACCGACACAACACTGTTGTTGTCTTGGTTTAGGTGTGCCACCCGTAAAATCCACCATCACACAATACAGTGCTGTCGTCATGTTTGTTTGTAAATAGCTATTCATTCTTAACAACAAGAAAAATGAACAGCCATGACAGCAGTACCAGGACCAATATTTGCATTTACTGAAATAGCAAACGTCAAGGGTTTTCAATAGAAAAGGAAGATTATGGCCTAAAAATAATTTTCTATTTGAAGTCAGATCTGAATAAGTACAATGTAATCCAAAGGTAAAAATCTGCATAAGAATACACCTGCCCTCACTGCCCCAACCCTTGAATGGTTATGTAATTAAGATTCTCATTTGCTTCTCTTTTTCAAGTGACCTTAACATCTTAAAACCCTAGAGTGAGTATGTATCTTGCATTTAAACTTAGGTCAGGCCTTAAAATGTACCATTTCCATATATTATCCATTAAATTGCTACATCAAAGGAATTGTGATGGCTGTTTTTTTCTGCAGAAAGCTGATCTCTAATGATGTTTCTAATTTTTTATCGATCATTTGTTGGTAAAGGGTGAGAGACCTGGCGAGTCTCATTACTTTTGTCAATAAGTCATAGGTTCCCGACCCCCTGTTATAGATCCACAAATTCTGTTTGATGAGATGTCACACATGCATAACATGCTTCAGTTTAAATGTTGCATGCACAGAATGGCAGTGTCTCATTATTTGCATGGGAGAGAAAGCATATCAATCAATGAACATTCAAAAGTGGGGCGGGCGGAACCTCAGCAGTGTCAACACAGATATTACAGTGAGTATTTTTCACTAAATGTGATTTAGTTAGTTTAAATGGAAAATGATTACAATGAGCTCTGCTCTGAGACACAGAAATGAGCTTATTTATCACAAGACATACTGCATCCAGCCTCACATGCACACAGATGAAAGATATTCTTGTCTCTAATTTCAGTTTAATTTCATTGAGGAACACTTGAACACAGCAGATGTAAATAATAAATATTTACAACATACATCCAATGATTTTGCTGGCATATAACATCAAACAACATTTTGAATATCATGCACTATTATATAATATTACCGGAGAATTTGTGTCTATTGAGGTTGATTGTATGTGTTGAAAAGCTCGCTTGAATTAATTACAGTAATTTCTGATTTGAAAGTGGCTGTTTACATCAGGTTTACTGTGTAAAATGGAATATAACAGCATATTAATCATGCATTTACAGACTTGTATTCAGAATAATGAAATCTATCAGTGTTTTAATTAAATGATTGTGTCTCCAAATATTCCTCAGACAACATACCCAATCAACATGCCTTGAGCAGGGCACCTACAGTAACCTCAAGTTGCTTCATCAATTAGCCTATTTATAAACAATAAATACATTTTATTAATGAAGTAAGACTACTTGGGATGAAATGTGTCTGCTAATGACAAAGAAAGCAAGTGTGTGTCCAATTTGCATAATTTGCAGTTCAAATTTGATTGCTCCAGATAGATATTTTAGATAGGCAGGCTAGTGTTTGAATTCAGAAATCGAAGAACAACATCTCAGGACCTCATATTTAAACATGGTCAAAACACAGCGTAAACCATACAAAGATAACAGCTAATTTTGGAATAGTCTCCTTCCCCTTAAATTATTAGGCCTATAGGCAATTTATAGTTTTTTTTAACCTAAAATATATATTTTTCTCTCAGTATATTTATAGGCTCCTTTTAAGTTTGCGCGTAATTTCATTACATGACATCTTGTATGTAGAAGATAATCCCTGACATAACAGAACGTTGATGTACTACAACAAACTAGGGAAAACAGCTGCAAAAGAAATGCGGCTTCGGAGCTGTGCACTGTTCAGTGATATTTTGAACGGGTTTCAAAACGACTGGAAGTCGTCATCGACCAATCGACGTTTCCACAGTTCAGGCAACACGCAGTTCAATTTTTTATTGTATTTTTTTAAGCGTATTTGAAAGCAACTAAACAAAACCAAACAAGCGCACACATGAATCATTTTCTGCAGCCATGTGTTCACAAAGAGCATAGACCTTGACATTTCATCTATTGCTTTCGCACTAAAGCAACACAGACAGTCGTAAGCTGATGACGAACAAGAGTGATGCAGTCTTCTTGAGTGTGTTGTCAATATATCTCGCAAGTGAAGCTGTGAAGCTCCTCTCGTGCTCTGATTGTGATTCGCTCATTGGTCGCTGAACTGTCAGCAGCTCGAGCAGCGATGAGCCACTCACCCGGAGGACTGCTCACTCAGGACTCTTATGATGATGTCCCCTCATCTGAACTTATGTTTTACTCATCTGCCAACACCGTGTCCGATGTTACAACTAATGTTTGATTGACTTTATTTTTAAAGCAGGATAAACTTTACGGATTCAAGTTTTTTTTTAATTCACGGTAATCGAACATTCACGGAAGAAAAAGCGCCTGCGATGGACGCCTCAAAATTGGTTTTATTGGCTTTAAAGCTGAGCTGCGTGTTTTCTCCGGTAAGTATTTGTTTTTGTGCTTTTGTTGTATTTTAAATAGCTTACAGTTGGTTGTTTCATTACAGTCAGTATGATACCGTTGTCTTGTTAACATATATTTTTCATTATTTTAAATCCATATAGGCTAACGATATGTAGGCTACCTCGCATATTTAGTAAAAACCATGATAAATCTGACTAGAAAGCCACCGAGAAGTTGGATCCTGATTCAAGAGACTATGCAGTGAGCGCTTTGGGACGAGTGAAGGAGCCGTACATCTTTTACTTTATAAAGGCATGATAATGTTGACTTAAGCAATATGTAGCCGTCTATAGCATGTCAGATACACGTGTTTATTTGTTTGTTTTTTTAAAGACAAACAATGCATCTTAAAATAGCCTACTACTTTTTCTTTTCTTTTCTTTTTTTTACCTCGAAGAAGGGGTGAACGCACCTGTCAGATAGCGAGGAATCAACCAGAAAATTAGGCTACTTGAATTTAATTAAATTTAAAAAATCATTATGGCTTTAATCATGAAAAATTTTGAGGCATGCGTGCCGAGGTCATGGTTTTAGTTTCCCACCTTACTCGTTTATTTTATTGGGTTTTACGCATTCACTAGCACCAATCTCCATAATATCTGCGAATATTTGCACATCGTCTGTAAAAAATGTACCCTTTTTGCTGTGAATCTTAATTGGAATTTATTTTTTGTTCAAATAGCTTTTATTGTGTTAATTAGTTTATTATTGTTCTCTCTATAGCTGTAGTGTAGTAGGCTAGGATTCTATACGATTAGAAGTAGGATCTATCTATCTGGATTCTATACGATTAGAAGTAGTATCTATCTATCTATCTATCTATCTATCTATCTATCTATCTATCTATCTATCTATCTATCTATCTATCTATCTATCTATCTATCTATCTATCTATCTATCTATCTATCTATCTATCTATCTATCTATCTATTTCCATATTAAGGGCAAAATTAGGCACTTAGCAAAACCAGGGGGGAAACAAAATGAAAAATGAAACTTTGCAAAAACCAAAATGTTGCACAGTTTTGGTTCAGCTATGATACACATGGCAATTGTAACCGAAGCATTCACTAATAGTGTAAATCATACACTTCAGTGTTCATAAAAGCCTCTTACCTGCACTTTTAGCACACTTCACCCTCTTGAATCTCTGATAAAGGCTGCAGTGGTCTCTGCCACTCTCACTCACCATGTCAGAAGTTGAATGAAAAGACATTTTGGTACTGACTCTGGAATTAAATGTACCAAACATCAGCTAAAAGCATCCTTTAGAAGACATTCCTGCTGATATTTATTTCAACAAACATGGGAATTCAGGTTGACTTGCATGTTGGAGGATGTTTCACATTTGATGGAAAGCAGCTGGTTGCAATGGAAAAGATGTGTTAGTTGTTTAAGTGTTGTTTTAAATGTATTTGTTTCACTTGAGTCACATTATCAGCATGTAATTGAGCTGTATAAGAAGCTATGGATTTTAAACATATTGTTAACATGTCACATGTGATAGAATCAGCTTTGTTGCTGGCATGCTATTTGTTTTATCTTGGATAGATAGTTGGCATCACCTCAGCTTCCTGCTCTTATCAGCTGTTTCCCAAATGATGTAACATCTTTAACATTTGAACTGAAACTTCACTTCTAAAGATGAAGGTTTCAAAAGAGGGTTTTCACAGCGATGCTTTAGAAGAACCATTTTTGGTTCCCCAAAGAACCTTTCAGTGAACAGTTCTTAAAATAATCTTTTTTTTCTAAGTGTGAAGAAAATGTTAATAATCTAAAGATCCTTTTTCCACTTTAAATGTCCTTTTGTGCAATGGAAATCATGTAATCATATCAACAAAGAACCTTTATTTTTAACAATGTTAGTAAGTTGTATTTATGGATGGTGGTGGCTGTATGCACCGCCTTCTTCACTAATTTACTTTATTCTAAGGTCAACAAGCTTTCAACTGAGCTGGTTTTCAAACTGATATAATCTTGACAGTTTCAGGGAAGACAAATGAATGTGTGCTTTACACTTACTCTGAATTCTAATGATCCTTAGGGAAACTTTTAAAGACAAAGAAATTAATCATTATGTAAACCAATTTATGTAGATTTCAGCAGCAATACAATTTGAGTCCTGTAAATACAGGTCAACAAAGTTTGATTGTTTCATTTTATTTCCATTATTCCATAAATTGTCAGTCTTTTACTGTACATTTTATTCTCGGAGGATAATCTACGAAGTTAAGTCACTCAAAGAGTAAGGCTTAAAGAACATATCATTAAAATTGTGCCTAGAATACGATTGAAGACTTTATCTAAAGAACACATTATAACACAATTAATTGTAAGTACAAAACAAATTGTTATGACTTTCATTTGCTTTTGCTCATCTGTGTCAAGAAAAGAGTCTTTAGGAAACAAATGAGGAGTTTCACAGCTGGAGATGTGTATGAATCATGATAATGAGGTTTTGTTGCAGCACACAAGATTCCTGATGCAAAACTATGCCTTCAGTAAAAGGCTTGTTTACTGCAAAAAAGGAACATTTTGGTTCCTTTGTTTCTTATGCATCGTCTCTTGGAGCTGTTTTGATATAATCAAAAGAACTAGATTTATAGTTTGATAAAAGTATTCTCTTAAGTTTTTTTTGTTGTTGTTGCTAAAAGTTGTCGCTTTTTTTTTGCACTTGAATTCAGTCATTCCTTCACAATGGGCTCTATGCACGGCGGTATTTCCGGTGAAGGTCTAAGGATGCTGGATTACTTCCGCCGATCGTAGAGTCCAATGCTATACCGAGAATTTATATTGGTTTATACTCTATTGCTATACTAAATAAACGTTAGTCACAAAAACAGACAAAACAGACACCCCTCGTTTTGTTTATGCTTCTTTGTTTATTATATTAAATAAACATAACTATATATTAAATTACATCTAAACGTATTAAAGTTTCGTTTCAAAGACGAGAGGACAGTAAATTTTGAAGACTCTCCCATAATCCCGTCTTCCTCGGTTTTCCTCCGCTTTAAATCTCCCCAACCGGAAACGTAAGAGCATCCTTGCATCAAACGCGGAAGTTATGCGTGCATATAGCCCATTCTAACCGCAGGAAACAAACGCTTAAGCAGACTGTGTGCTTGGAGAAAGTTTTCCACACAGATTATAAGAGCTACTCACTCTCTGAAGAGCTAGTGCTAGAACTGGAGAGAAAGTAGCTTTAGATTTCCTCAAGTCTTCTGACTGCATCATCTATGCAAGAACACTCCCACTCGACACCCAAACCTCATAATGCTCTTCTGTCCGGTCTGTCTGCCCACCTCACTTACTCATGAAGAATAGATGTGAGACACCTATTGCTTAAGCACCATGACAACGTCCTTCGTCTGTGTTCCATATAACCAACTATATTTATAGCACTGTTCAGGTGTGAAATAAGAAAGCTCAGTGTTTTTCACTCACTTAGAGTTCCGTCTTTCTCAGGTTGTCCTCTTGCTCTATCCATCTGGGCGACCCATATGTGCTAGGCAATAATCGTTTGATAAATTAACTGAGAAATTGATAAATCAGATGAGAAAATGGTAGATCAAGTGAGCAATCAATTACAAGTGGATAAATAGATAGAAGAATCAGAGAATTTGATAATCAAAAAAATAATTAATAAAAACATAAACAATATCTATCATATATTTAAAAAACGATATTCAGTTTATAGCAATAAGTAATGTAGATGTTTTGATGAAAATGAATTAAATGTGATTACAGAGTGATTGATAATTGTATTTTATATTAATTGATTACTTTTTGATTATCCAATGATTAATTTTACAGGTTTGTAAATTGTAATTGATTGATTGCTCAAATCTGCTCAAAATTGCTCAAATAGATAGATCTATCTATCTATCTATCTATCTATCTATCTATCTATCTATCTATCTATCTATCTATCTATCTATCTATCTATCTATCTATCTATCTATCTATCTATCTATCTATCTATCTATCTATCTATCTATCTATCTATCTATCTATCTCCGTCATACCGAGATTCATTCATTCATTCGTACAGTCATTTGTTTGTTCACTCGTTCATTCATTTGTTTATTCATTCGTTGTCAGTCTCATTAAGGCTGCTTTGTAGACATACGGTATTTTCTTTGACTATAAAGGTTTTGTTAGTGTGAAATCGTTTAAACAGCTGCTGGAAACTCCCTCGAACATTGGTGTCATGCTTCAGTCATATACAAAAGTTTTATAATAACAAAAACTGACATGTTTCTATTATGTAGTGGTCGAGGGTCCTCAGTTTTATTGAGCTGCAGAAAAATCCCCAAAATCTTCTCTTATCTAAATTCATGGTGTGACACAGAGCAGATGTGTATGCAGGAAGTTTATGGTTGTCTCTGGGGTGGTCATTTATGATTCTGCTCTGCATAGTCTGCTGAGTGATTAACTTGGGGTTTTCACTTACAGCAGTAGTGTGAGTGTGCAACAGATGTATTTCCTGTTTATTCAGGTTTATATTGCTTTTCCTCTCCTCCTCTTTGCTCATAAATAGTACAGTTCTGAACTTCTTGACAGCAACGATATTTTTGTGGTCAACAGACTATATAATAAGACCCTAAATCACTCTGAACACCCGCAAAGTAACCTGCATGACACACTAGCAGCACTTGCTTGAGTTTAAACTCATGAATACCCTAACAGAGGGAATCTCAGCATGCAGTGAGTGTGCAGAATTTGGAAAACTGCAGTGGGTTAGGTTGGCTTTTGATTTCTGATTTTTAAATGTTTTTATTTTTTATTGTGCTGTGACCACTTACAAGATGGGCTGATCAGTGTTTCATCCACTGATGTGTGTGTACCAGTGATTGATTGTAGGCCTACCTGTTGATTTCATTGTGCTGGTTCATTGTGCATGTGGAGGCTATCCTATAAGCCTCGGCATAGATGGCATGGTGTTCTCAACTCGTAGCAGATAAATCCTGAGTCC